AATAATGGTTGTTAGCCCAAGATGAAGTTTGGAAGCCCACCTAAGAGGGCGCATGGTATTGTTAATGGGCTTGGATTGTCCAAGACATTACTAATTAATTTAATTAGTTAAATTAATTATCAAATATTTAAATTTTGAATTTTGAATTTTGAATTTGAAATTTGAATTTTGAATTTTGAATTTTGAAATTCGAATTTTGAAATTTGAAATTTGAAATTTGAAATTTGAAATATTAATTTTTAATTTTTAATTTTGAATTTGAAATTTGAATTTGAATTTGAATTTAGAATTTAAATGTTTGAACGTTTGAATTTAAATGTTTGAATTCGAATTTGAATTGGCTATGAAAAGTTGTTTCATAACAAAAAGATAAGATGAGATCTTGTTTGAACAAATCCCTTGTATCAAGAGAAGATCTATGGAGATCTCCAAGGGCTGATTTGGGGCGCCATTTTGGTGGGAGATGATTGTCATCTTGTCAAACCAACAAGCTCCAATCAGATTTGGTTGTTGAGAGAATCAGTGAGCTAGTTGGTTCAAACTTGAATGCAACAGCTCAAATGTATCTGGACCCTTTTTGGGCTGAATAGGGGCGCATGAATTGGTGGTTATATGATGACCATTGGTTCAGAATTTTGACTAGATAAAGACCTAGTCTTATGAGGATTCAAAGGGGAGGTTGTTGGGATTTTTGAATTGCAACAACTCAACCTTTGTCTCACTCAATTGTGCGCCACTTTCATTATAAGTAAAGTAAAAATTCTGATTTGATACACTAATTCTCTCCCTCTCTTGTGCGCCTAGTTGGTGAGTTCCTCCTTAAGGTTTTTCAAAAGAACCTAGCCAATTCTTCTATATATCATTCTCACTCGTGTGAAGTTTTCATGCTGGAGACTTCACTCTTCTAAACACATATACCTAGCCTCCTTCTTCACCTATTGAGCGCATAGCAAGCCTCTCTGTGGTGGTCAATTGGTGGCTTTCAAGAAAGCATTCTTGCATCTTGACGTGGGTGGTGTGGATCAACGTTAGAGGGTTTGAACCCTTCAAACCTAACACTGATCTTCTTGATTGCATGTGTAATTCCGCATATGAAAAATTTTATTTTTCCCTCTCACATGCTACGGCCTTCAAGGCCTTTTTACTTTCAACTTGGGCCCATATTAGTCTTTCTCCTCAAAGAGGAATTAGTCTCGTCTTTTTATCAAGTTGGGCGTTACAAACTCTCTCAACTTGGTAAACATCTTCTTTTGTGGTAATTTTTTTTAACCCGCGATGTTCAATCAGGCAAGAATCAATGTTGTAAGTGTATGGAGATACCACTGCTGGACATTGACTCATACATTGGTTAGGAAGGCATAATTAGTCTGTGTACCTGGTTATGGTTACAGAATCAAACACTGTTCCGCTGGCATACTGTACCTACATTGCCTCATTGGTTGTTGATGAAATAAGATCCTCAGGCCAGAAGAATCTCTGTCATTGTGATTATGTCATTGTGATTATGTCATTGTGATTATCTGCAAGTGGGTTGAATGTTATGTGGATAGGCAATTACATTTCACTTGCACTGATTTTTTTAAAAAGTTTGATTTTATTCCCCAAATTTTAAATTCAACAATTTGCTCCTACCACTTTGTTTAAAATTAGAACAATTTAGTTCAACCTTTAACAATTTAGGCAATGACAAGTTTTTTTGCTCATATTGGACGCATCCCACCAAAAATATTTTGTTGAATATATTAGATACTTGAGATGCGTCTAACATCAGTGTGTATATTATCTGAGCATTATTTACAATTTTAGTTAAGTTGCAGGTTGAGTTAAATGATAAAGTTCTTTATTTATATTTATATAGCTAGTGAATGTAAGGACTTCAAATCAAATGTTGCCTTTATGAAAAGGAAATTTATTTTTTTGAAGAAAATAAAATTAGTGGAGAGGGTTAAAAACATTATTTGTGAGTGTCGGGCACAAGGATATGCTTTGAGATCTAATTAACTCTAGTATGAAATACATCTCATCTGAACTAACAAAGCTGCACAGAAGTTCATGACCATATTGCCATATTGTATAAATAGTCAGATAAAGTTCATTTCCATATTGTCATATTGTATAAATAAATATTCAGATATCCAGACCCTTCCTGCAGGTATTACGCAATACCTGGTTTATTGCCTTTTGTATGGTTGGTTTTCCAAGCCCTTTTTCAGAATATCACAATTTTGATTGTATTATGAACTAACTCTTTCTAAAGTTTAAATGTGAACTCATGACTAAAGGCGTTTTTGACATTTATTTTCTATAAAAAAAAGTATACATATTTCTCCTACTTTTATGTACAGACTATAGACAAGTTTCCTTCAAATAACAAAGCAAGAAAGGTAGTTAATCTTTCAAACAAGAAGTATGTAGTTATAATTAGGGGTGCAAATAAGTTAGATGAGACTAGACTTTGACTTAAATAGGTCAGATTTACCTAAAAAAGTTTAGGATTAACCTAGATTGTTAGCCTGTGTATATCCAAATTACAAATCTGATCTGACCTATATTTAAAAAATAAAAGTTTAGCCTAGAGTCGTTAGCTTATTAACCTATTAAACATTTCATAATTAAAAAAATAACTAAAATAATATTACTTTATTCAGAATAATCTTTCTGCAGTTACTGCAGATAAGTTATCTGCATTTACTCCCAAAAATGACGTCATTTTGAGATTGAAAAATTAAATAATTATAATTATAAAGATTATAATAATCCTAAAATAAATTAAAATTACAAAAACACCATGATTTTCACCCAAAACAACGTCGTATTAGGCTTACTGTAGATAACTTATATGCAGTAACTGCAGAAAAAGTGAACCCTACTTTATTATTCAAAATTATTAAAATAATAATCTTATTTAAAATAAATAATATGATATAGACCGACTTATAAGCTTACAGGTTCAATATGTACAAAAAAGTCTATGATCAATATGCTATAATCTGCTTTCTAAATATGTTATTTTTTTAGTAAATACCTTTTTTGGTCCCTAACAAAAAATACGGTCTCCATTTTAGTCCCTTACAAAAATAAATTAGTCAGTTAGTCCCTAACAAATTCAAAGTGGACCAATTTAGTTGAAATCGTAGTCCCTCATAAATTCAAAAAAGACCCATATTAATCCCTCAAAAGGACTAAAATGAGTTCACTTTGAATTTGTTAGGGACTAACTGACTAATTTATTTTTGTAAGGGACTAAAGTGGGGACCGTGTTTTTTTGTTAGGGACCCAAAAGGATATTTATTCTTCTTTTTTTAAATCTAAGCATGCTCTATTTAATTATTTGTAATAGTTCAAATCTGATCTAATATAGCCTAGCCCTTCTACACTCCGAGTGTAATCATTTCATTTAAGATAATGCGAAAGATGTTCCAGTTTATGCAGGCTGTAAGATGCTACTAGTAAAATCCCCGCCAGTATTAAAAAATTTCTTACTAGCATAACATTGTCCTGTTATGAAAGAGAGAGAAAAAATATCATACAAAAAAAAAAAGTTTACTATGATTAATTTCTATTTTTTTTATCTCTCTTGACATGACAATGTCATGTTAATTGTCATGTCAGTAACGTGATTTTCATATTTTCAGATAACGCGAGAAGATCCAACCTCCTTTTTTCAAGTTTCAACCTTCAGCTATCAAAGTGCTTAAAGGAAAATTGCAACGAGAAAACCCAGCTACTTAAATTTCCATCTCAAAAACCAATTTAGCCACCCCATTGCATTAGAAGTTATAAAGAACCTTTGGCTTTTCCACCACGAGAATATGCACTCCCCCCTCTCCTTTCTCCCATAATATTTGAAACAAGTTAAAAAAAAAAAAAAAAAAAGGCTAATGGTGTATTTTTCTACTGGCAAATAGAGAAACCAGTGTTTCTGCGAATCTGCACAACACGGTGTAACAATTTCTAAGGTGTGTTAGCTTGTTTACTATTTCTATTTTATGTTCATCATTCAGGAAAATAAACAGAATATCAACAAGGTGACATTTTTGTAATTATTAATGAAAATATATCAACTGCAAATGAAATAGAACAAACCAAACCAAACACCCCTTCAGCTTTCATTTCAAAAAAAAAAAATGATACAAAGCTAGTTAAACAGAATTGCTACAAATGTATTCAAATTTGTAATACTCTCAAAATACATGTCAGAAATGCACGTTATCTCAACATACACAACATCTGTAAATTAGGAAAGAGATGCCTGTGACATTAGTGTTCTGCAAACGCAACAATCATCCACTACTAATTTGGGATATGCCAATGTCATCAACTCAAATATCGAATAGCATGTACAACAATATATAAGCTCTACGACAGTCTACAAACAACAAGTGATATTCCTCATTCATCAACAATATAAAGTTTTTCATTCCCCTTCTGCCTTATTTTTTTGCGGCAATTTTTTTCTAACCTTAGTATTCAAGGATCCTTGTACATCTACAATTTCTCACTTTTCTGGTTTACTAATAAAGTGAGAATTGAGACTATGTTCTTCTGAGGATAATAAATATAGTTTTAAACTTTGAGTTGAAATTGATTTTTCTGTTCCATACAGCTAAATAATCTTTCCAAAGGGCATAAAGAAAACACTAAATAAATTCGAAAGTCAAGACAGCATAAACTTCTCATGCAATTCTATAATTGAACATGCAAGTGAAAACATTAAACTAGCATACACATTACCTTCATGTAATGTTCAAAACACCCATTTCTATAAAGAAAACACCCCAAACTTTTTTATTTATTAGAAAAACACTAGAAGCACTTTTTTCCCTACTCCAATTTCTACCACATAGATTGTTTTTAAGGTGTCATTTCTTGCTTAGTTCCAATTAAGCAGCAGCTACACTTGTATATTTAGTTGGAAGCCTTTTATCCAAAAAAAATAAAAGGTTACAAGTATCATTTGATCAGTAGCATATTTACTCATAGTTAAAATTTCCCTGCTAAATACCATTAAAACAAAATCTCAGCCCATCAGGATCAACCAACCATAAGATTGAATAACCGTGCACTAAATCCAAATAAGTGAACAAAACAACATAGCAAGAGACAAAAAACAAAGGAAAACGCTGTGTGAATTTGAAAATTCTTGTACTAAAAAGTACAAACCATCTAAGAAGCCTCTGTCTCAAAACAAATACACATATATACAAGGCAAACTTGCTAAAAGGAATAAGAGGTCCGTTGTAACATAGAGTAAATCTACCTGATAGTGACAAACTTGTTGGTGCCATGTTTTGCCCAATAAGTCCTTAAATCAATTGGATTAGAAAAGTTATAACCCTCGGCTGCAAGTTTCTCTAAAACTTTCTTAAATGCTCCTATACTCATTTTTCTTCCAGCTATCCTCGCTCCACGCCGTTTGGCACTCATGGGTAAAGGATATATTGATATACCTGTTGTACAACATGCTGATTGCCACCCACCGGAGCCCCATCTATAACACTGTTGAGATGACCCAGTGCATGAACAAACAGGTATAGGAATACTGGAGATATCCATATCGATCCCATTTATTAAAATTTCAGTAGTTTTCTTTGATGTCCTAGCTCGTTGAACTGAAGGAGTATTCTCATCCTTTGGCACACGAGACCCTCTTTTGGGCTTCTTTGCCTTGGGTGACTTGGGAACCTTGGGAACCTTGGGCACCTTGGGAACCTTGGGCCTTTGTCTTTTCTTACTAGTTCCGTTGACCTTCTCAACAGGTGGATCTTCAGTTGGTTCTTCTTCCTTGGACAATTCAGGTGGTTGAATCATTTGCATTTGATGTGCTGAAGATGTCTCAGGAACAACAGCATAATTGGGGTTTGTGGGTATCATATTCATAAACTTGTCTCTGTGATTAATCCAAGCATAATCCATAGGGGGCATCCCAAAGTCTCTATGGTGAAAAGGGGCACTTGTTGTGCCAGTGACAGTGCCAGTGCCAGTGCCAGTGCCAGATAAAACTGCAGCATTGCGTCCTCCAAGCAGAGGTTTTTCGGGCATGGAGGACATTAGCTGTAACCCAAGATTGCTCTTAAAGGAGGTTGTGGCATCATAGTAACCCCAATTACGCATGTTAAGATCGTTATCCCCATCCATTGCAACAGAAAATGCACTACTTCACACGATGATGTATACTAGTTAAATAGATTTCCAGGCCATTGAGTTAGTTCTCTTCTCCCCCACAAGCCTACTCAGAATTCAAAAGACAATAAATTTAATGCCAAAAATAGAACAAAAAAAGGACTATATGCAGTTGGTTAACCATAAATCAACCTTTATTTTGGATAAATTACAGAAATCAACTAGTGGGATTTGATCCTTTACCATAACAAATACAATGAAAACAAAAATTAGATCTTTGAACAGAAATGGAACAGATCAACAGAAACAAAATGAGAATGAAAGTGGAAAGTGGGGAAACCATAAAATTTGACTTGAGAGGGTACCCATGTTGATTGTTGAGATTTGAAGGAAGAAAAACAGTACCTATTACTGTTAGGGTTCTTGGCGTCTACGGACGGAGAAGGAAGAGAGCAAAGGAGCATAAAGGTCCATACGCAATCCTAAACTATTTATATGAGTTTCTATTATTATTATTATTATTTATTTGTATTTTTTGGTAAACATTATTATTATTATTATTAGAGGAAGTTTATATTTGTAATATATTTTCGTTTACAACTTCTTATAATCATATCTTAAGCGTTGATTTTCATCAATCAATCGTTATTATTTTCTCAAATCAAATTTATTAATTAATTATTAGTTCACAATAAATAATAATTATTGATTGGTGAAAATCAATGATAAAAATATAAATATAAGAGATTGTAAACGTAAATAAGTTGTAAGTATAAGAGGAAGGTTATATTTATAATATATTTTTATTTACAAATTTTTATAACTATATCTTAACAGTTAATTTTCATTTATCAACGGTTATTATTTTGCAATAAATGATAATCGAAAATAGGTTATAAGAGTAATCTTTCTTTCTTTTTTATTAATAATTTAATATTATTAAATATTAAATTTAGATTCAAAATATACTCAGCCCGGGACAAAGGTACCACCAATCATCATGAGCAAATGAGCAATACACCATAAACGAGTTTTTTTTTTTTGTAAGAAAAAAAAGTTTCAGCTTTTTTCCATTTAGGAAATAAAGAATCCAAATGAAATGGATTTGAGTCATTTCACCACAAATCCACAATGTACACTTTGATAGTTTTAAGAATCGAATGGCATTTTTCTTTTTCTTTTCTAATACGTGAAATGAAATTAAAATTGAAGTAGATGACATAAACGTTAAGGTCTGTTTGTCTAATGTGTATGTGACGTAATTATTTTACACACCTGTCTCTCTCTTTTTTTCATTTTATCGCCATACGGTTTATATGGTTAGAAATTCATTCTATATTTATTCTATTCTATTAAGTATAACGTTGAAAGTCTTTAGGTGTGTTTGGTACAGGTTTTCTTTTAGGATTGACCTGAAAGTGTGAGTGGATATTAAAACTATCATGTTTGGTACAAGTTTGTGAAAAATAATTCTATCAAAAAATGTTGCCTAGGAAACGAGATTTGTGTTGAGTTTTTGCTGAAAGTCAATCTTTCAAAATACCACTTGAGATGTGGTATTTTGGGATAATCAGAAAAGTGAAAAAATGAGCATGAAATTATGGACCAACGTGACCCTGTATATGTGTAAAGTAGGTGAGTTCAGATCTACCATATTGTGACTCATTCTCGTCCACAGATCTGGGACATGTTTTCACTGCACAACAGTTGTGCTTAAGGTAGGGGGCGGGGGTGAGTTACTGCTACAGACATTTTCGTTCTGAATAAGTGTCTTGAAAACTTTGGCCTTTCCTATTGCAACGTGTTTGGGTGTCACCTTCTCTTCTCTTGCGTTTGGGGCGAGTAGTGCGCAAGAATCTTCTTTTGCAACTGGTCAGGTATGTGCTTCTGACCTGTGGTTTGGAAGGAGGGGTTGGTGATTGAGCTGGAAGAGTATGAGGTGGGGGTGAAGGGCATGTTTTGAACTGATGTACCTACAAAGCTCAAGATTCCATACAAAGGAGCTAGCATTGAATCTTTTGGAAAGTAGAGATGGAACAAAACTAGATAAATTGTTGTAAGAGACATTGAATGAACTGAGATGAGCAAGTTTGGTAAAGGAATCTGGAATTTCTCCCATGGATTTATTTTCAGAGAAATCAATTTGGCTAATGCTTGAGATGTTTCTAATTGTTGATGGGAATTGGCCACCAAGTTTATTGTTCTTCAGGTTAAGCACAGAAAGGTTGTGTAACCTGTCCAAAGCATCTGGGATATGGTTTTCAAGTTGATTGTTCTCTAGATTCAATGAAACAAGAGAAGAGAGGTTGGAGAAGCTAGCAGGAAAGCCAAGAAACCAAGGGACATGACCAACAAGAGCATTGTCATGGAGACTAAGCTTCCTAAGACCTTGAAGCTGCCCAATTTTCTCTGAGATGCAATATGGAAACTAAATATTGACGTTGACGGTGAGATATGTTACGATAGACTCACTTTTAGGCAATGGTTCTTTTAAAAAAATTATAACGAGGTGTTTTTGTCAATTTAACCTATTTTCCCATCACTATTTTACATTCAACTAAATATAGACTTTGCAAATTTAAATAAATTTCCCCGATAATATTTCGGTAAACCAAATTTTTTTTTTGAACTTTTCCATCAAACTTACTTTCGTATTCCCATTAATTACAATTCCCCGGTAAAAAGAAATATCTTCACTACCAAATGTCTATTAGCAGGCGTTTGGTTCCGATTTTTTGTTTAGTTCCCTGTCCATCTTGAATTGGCATTCCATGATTACATTGTTTGGTAGAAAGATTAAAAAAAAATTGACATGCTTCTCTTTTCCCCAGCCTTTGACAAGCATGTGCAAAATCAAAAGCAAATCATTGTAGAACTTTGCCACTTTGAATGTGGTATTCCTAGAAAACTAGCTAAACTCCAAAGAGGTAAACGAGGAGGTTATCACAGTACACATGTCTACATCTCCGAAATATCAAGGGTTATTTTCGGTATTTTAACACATTTACCCATCATTATTTCACCTTCAACCAAATAAAGACTCACAAAATTTAATCCAATTTTCTTAGTAAAATTTTGACCAACCAAACAACTTTATTTTAACTTTCGTACCAAACTCACTTTCCTACCATATTAATGGTAATTGCATTTACCTGATAAAAAAATATATATCTCCTATGCCAAACGCGCCCTTAATGTTAAATCACAGGAGACAAATAGATAGTCGGGATTTGCACTCTTAGCATCATCAACGCCGGAAAATATTTTCAGTAGTTATGCAGTACATTATTTAGTGAAGTTAGGAAAAATTAACTTGCCTTATCATTATTTATTTTACTCATTCCTTCATAATTATGTTGTCAAAGTTCTCTGGAGTTTGCGCCAACAATGCCCAACAACTTGGATGAAGCTTACTATAGATTACTACCACAGAGGCTGCCAACCAATTAGACCAGTTAATCAAATCTCAAGGCTTCCAATGTTTACCAGACACAGTGTTTACTATCACAAAGACAGCTTGAATTGAAACAATTTCTTATAGAGCATCACCATCTCGCTACAATGTTTACTAGTTGCCACATGGGGAAACAACTTTTGTTTAATGGCATCATCATTTTCATCTCAGAGTTCAGGTTGTGTTTCATGGCAACAACTTTTGTACACGGGAATGATAAACTAGGGCTGATGGGGTATTTTGGTTTTACAAAACCATGTTAGCTTTTGTAAGAACCTGCACCGTTTATTAAGAGAGTTAATTAATTAATTATGAGAAATTAGGAAATAATTCCATAATTGACCCTAATAATTATGATCAGGCTTAAATAATTATGGTAAGTAATTAATAATGCTGCAAGTCTCTTTTCTGACGAAAAGTGCAGATACTGGTTCGACTACTCGGTATAAATGCGTACCGATGAAGTAACCCGAAAAATTATAATAAGTGCAGAAATATTCCTAGAATAATATGTAGGACTTGTAAAACAAGTTTCAAGTCAAAATAATAAGAACTGGTGTCAGAACTGATACTAGCTATGGAAAAGCGCGTATCAGAAAGGTGCTGCAAAAAATAAAATAAGAATATGAAAAATCTTAGAAAAATGAGTAGGTTCATATTCCATAGGTTGAGATTAAAATACTAAACGTAACAATTAGCGCTAATACAATGCGATTAAGACTCAAGTGGGCTACATAAGGACCCTTGCACATGATCTTAGGTCTGCCTCCCTCTCTTCTACGTGAATTTTCTGAGTTTTGTGACCAGCCACCTTCTCTCATCTTCTCCCCTCCATTGTAGCTCCAAGAGAGCACCTTTCCACTTATTTCCTTCACCAAAGTTGCTTATAAGAGTGTGCTCTAGCCATGGGAGGGTAAAACTCCAGCCATTTATGAGTTGTGAGGGTGTAGTGAGTGAGAAAGTTTCTGACTTGGTGGTTGGAGTTGTGAGAGCCTTTGAGGTAGCATTTTGAGCTTCAAGGTGTGATCTTTAAAGAGAAAGAACCAACATTTGGTGTGCCATTTTCGTTTGCCTTCAAGTCAGAATTGTAGAGGCAGTGTGGTGAGCTCCAAGATCCATTGTTGCTCTGTTTGAACCTTGGGTAAGTGTTACCAACCTTGATCATGAGTTTTAATGGGTAAAAGTGGAGTCGTGCCATGTTTAAAGGGTTAAACAAGTAACCAATCAGTTTATGAACTTAAAAGAGAGTAAAAATGCATGTTTTAACGTTTAGAAGTGTTAAAAATGGAACATTGGAAGTGATATCTCGCGAAATGCAGTTTCTGCATTATGTCGCGAAATATCCGGATATTGATATCCGGATATTTCCCCCAACATATAACCGGATTTTCTGGATTTTCGAAAAATAGTAGCTGTACTGTTCATACAGAAGGCTGTTATGGGTTTGTGGACCCTAGATTGATGAAGTGGGACTTCTGTAATGATTAATTTAAGTCAGAATCTAAGTGATTAAGAGCTTGTGGCTTTGTGAGAAGCCTAAAGACATGAAACATAATGAAAAGACGTTGTCTTTATGTCATATGTTTGTATGTTTGAATATTGATATGATTGCTGGTCCAAAACAGATTGTGATTCTGCTGTGTTTGGGCTTTGAGCTTGGTTGGACTCTTGGCTTGGATTGTTAGGTTGCAAGGTAAGTTTTCGTGTATTCGGTTTAGCCATTGTTTGTTCCACCATGTCCTATGGGGGGATGGTTATATGCATGATGTGTTTTCATGTACTGTTTTATTGAAATGCTATTGAACTGTTAAGTGCAATTGCTTTATGATATGTATGTGGTGTTTCGCCTAGACAGGAAGCCATGGGGTGGTCCTGTGGGCGGGTACAATATGGGCATGTACTGTGTGGGTAATAGACATATTCCTG